CCGACAAACGCGTTGAATTGCAGACACGGGAACCAGCCGGCCAGCCAGAAAGTAAATTGACAACAGTACAGGTGTCAGCTTCAGGCCAACAGCCTTTGCGGAATTGCAGTAAATACGGTCACAGAGAATCGGATTTTTGTTTACCACCTTTCCTACTAAGCAACGCACATCACAATCACTGAATCATTTGGACATAAATTCGCATCATATTGGGAGGATGGCATTGCCCTTTTGGCTCCTCGACCTACCTACCAAAGACGTCTTCTTCTTCTTATATTAAATTTAAACAAATTTTTTAAATTTTTTATTGGTTTTGCTTGATATTATAGATGAAAATTTTTAGTTTAAGTTTCATTTTCAAATACCAATAAATTCTTATCTTGATGTTAAGAAGTAAATTTTAGAATTTAAAATTTTAATATCAAAATCTTGATAATATAATGTTTTAAGTAAATTTTGGTGAAAAATAATATTGAATTTTATTTAATTATATATCAATTTATTTCATTGATTATAGAAATTCTTACGCCTTTCATTAATTATACTTGTAGTACAATTAAAAAATTTCAACTCCAAATCTTGATAATTTGAGAATATAGCATATGCAGCAAGATTGTTAGAAGGATCATAGAAATTCTTTTCACCTTCTTTATAATTTACATTAATTTCTCCAATAACAATTTTTTCAGACTCAGGGTATGATAAAATTTCTCAAACTATTATTGGAAATTGTGGTTTTGCTTGGATTAATAATATTTGCATTCTTACGCTCCACTTGCTACAATGATATAAGTAGTTTCTAAAAGAAAAAGCTTAATTTTTTAAAATAATTTTTCCGTAAAAGATTTTATGATGCTATATTATGTTGCATTTTGTCAGCATGATCATCAAAACCCAAATTTAATTTTTATGTTAAAATATTTAAAAAGACACACACACACACACAACAACAACAACAACATTTGCATGACATCATTGCTTAACAAGTTTTGGAGACTCTATCTAGTTAAGATTTATGAAAGTTGATTAGGTGAAAAGTACATTCACTTTGCTACATTTGAATAGTTGAGACAAGTAAAATAAAAACAAATAGAATTCCAAAAAGATACCACAAATGAGAGATGGACAATGTGATTACTTTTGAATTAGCAAGATTAGATTGGTTAGTGTTAATCATGACATAAGCTATCCAAGTCGTTAATTGAGCTTATAATTAGAACATCAATTTATTTTCTTTATACCTAATTAAGATAATAAGAAAGAAAAAAAATGTTAACTAGTATTATTGATACTTATTAAAGCGATTTTTTTTCTAAAAAAATTATAATTAATATATCATCTACTTTTGAATTTGATGAGCATTATAATAAAATTAAATAAAAAATATTTTAACTAATCTTTACAAATATAGATAAACACCCATTAATCAGTCTTAATAAAAAAAAGTAACCTAAAAGGTGTTAAAAAAATGATAAAGTGTATGAGAAAACTTCACATGTGAAAAGGAGTGTGTGCCCTTATCAATGATGGCCTCCATAGAAAATTGACAGAAACTTAAGACAAAACAAAGTAGGTGGAAGAGTGACTGGATTGGGAGAAAAAAGCATGAAAGCTTGAGATGAAGCCAGTTGGTGGAAACCATGCTTTTATTTCAAAGAAAACATAAGCAGGCACTTGGCAGATGTACCTTACTTTAGAAAAGAAGAAGAAGAGGAGGAAGTTGGCAAATATTTTAAATGGCAATGATAAAGTGGTGAGGCCTTCAGTTCCCCCTGGGGATGAGGGCAATCTTAGTTAGGTTAGGACCATGGAAACTTTTGTAGGCATGCTATGCTCTCTCTCCTTGCCTTCCTTCACTGGGGCGGTCGCCGAATCATATATGCGGGTCGTCCCACGAGCATGTTTACCATTGGCCTTTGTAGTGGGATTTGGGGCCCTTCCGCCCTCTTTGCTTTCAATTGGTTCTACAAAAAAAGAGAGAGAAAATATGTTTTTGCAATTATGAACCAGCTGAATCAATGCTCCAATGAGTGCATATGCAATCTTACTCCCAAACCATCATATTCCTTCCCCTTCTTCCAATAATTATAAGCCTCTAAATCTTTTCAAATTAACCAATGGAGGCTCCACAAGTCGGCCTTGCCACAAGCTCTTTAACCTTTCGAAAAGATAGGGTTTCTAACATGACTTAAGCATGCCATGAACATGACGCGTAAATGGAACAAACCCACAGTCCTCAAAAGCTTGGGAAAATGTTTAACTACTGCTTCCTTTTCTTGTCTCTTCCAATGAACATGAATTGCACTTGAATTTGGTTTCTCCCTTCCATTTCCAGTCTTTTGTTCTTTACTTGTTTACGGATAAGGTGTCTCTTATTATATATATTAAGGTCTACTTTGAAATGAAATCATTAACAAGCTCGGGTTTTACAGAATTATTTAATACACTAATTATATATTAAATTAAGAAAAAGAGAGGATATATCAATCATGAATTTCTTTGGATGAACACCTTTAACATCTTCCATCATTGGTATGCAAATGTGTACGCGGGTTTGAAGTTTTTCTATGGACTAGAATACGCAAAGAGACGATTCTGGGTCCAAAAAGTGGAATCATAAACTGGAGCATAAAAACATATTATTCCTCAAGCTTTTGCTTGCCAGCAAAGCATGAAATGGAGAGAGGATATATATATATATATATATATATATATATATATATATATATATATGCACAGTTCGTTTTTGTTTTGAGGTCATTAGAGCCCCACAAAGGGAGCATGGAATTAGAGTTTAGGTAGAGCATCATCTTTTTTGCCAACATTTTTTTATGTCCATCACTTTCTTTTCACTTGATAATAACTAGATATCTACACAATGTTTCTTTTGTAATATATTTCTGTTCATGGTAATGCCCCATCCATTTCTATTTCAAAACCTTATCCTTCTGCCAGCACACTAAAACCTTCTACATTCCTCCTTTCGATTGTGTAAAGGAAAGGGGCTTTGGGGAATGAAAAGGAGACATCGTGCTTTGGAGACTACACACATTTTATGATTTTGGGTTCCTTTTAATTATAACTACTCGGATGTGTAAGATGAAGACACATCACCCATTAAACACTCTCAATTCGGCTTTTTCCCACTTTAGTCTTTAAAATGATCAATGGGATTTTGCCGGCAGGTCTACCTGTATCAATCATTTTATAACACATTTTTTTTTGCAATACTAATCTTCTCTTGAAGTTCGTTAGGATACGAAAATAAAGAGTTATACTTGATCGATTTCCTTTCTTTTTTCCTCTTTTTTTTGAAGATCAACCCTTAGTTGTGTGACAGTACCTTTTTTGAAAGTTCAATTTTCTAACTAATAAGCAAACAAAAAGAAAAGGAGAAAAGGAAGAGGGGATAATGCTACATTTGGAGATCATGTTTTCCTGTATAAATTAAAAAGCTTTTTTCTGTGCCTTTTGGAAAGATTATTATTCTCTTGATGTATATACTTACTTTTGTTACTTTGCACAAGTTTATACCATAACCCTTTAAGATAATATATAAACCATAGATATTGAAATTATATGCATTTTTCCTAAACCTTTTTGTGATGTCCTAAGTCTTAAATTGTTCATGTGAAATTAGGGTTTGGCTTTACAAATCTGTTGTTTCATCATAAGAATACACAAGTACAGTTCAATAGAGAAGGCATGGGAATTATATAATTTTTGGGTTTAAAGTATTCCCTTGAATTTGTGGTAAAATATAAAATGATATTAAATCTCTTGTACAAGTGTTATTGTCCTAAGTAGCTGGCATGATCTTGAGTTTTTAGATGTCATTCATAACGTCATGAACACTAACTTTTTGTTTGTTTTTATTTGTTTTATTTAGTTTTTCAAACATTATCCTTTGGGACAATGCTATATGCAACAATATACCATTTATTTTTCGGGGCCAACGTGTGGTGGCATTTACAGCACTTGGCCTTTGGGTTTGATTTTATTCAAATACAATTATAAATGAGGAAAGCGATAGAACCCCAGAATTCTCTGTTCTAGGATGAAACATCAATTCGAGGAGCGTCTTTGGCTCTCAATTTCACAACATTCATAGAAAATAATTACCTCCAAAAATAAATAATCCAAAATTCGAATTCTTCCCTAACAATTGTACTAAATTGCATATTATTTTATACAGCGCACGCTTTGAATACAATTGTTGTTTTTATGAGATTTTGGATTTTCTTATTATCATAGGTGTTGTGATGATTTTTATATTAAATAAATGCATTTTTAATTTATTTTAGAAAAGTAAAAGCTAATACAGAGTCAGAGTTTGGTTTAGACCTTTTATGAAGTATTTCAAATGAGTGATGATCATTGATCCTATATATATACTTTGTAATAAATTCGGCTCAGAAATCTATTGGATCTCAAGTGATGGATTAGGTTAGAAACCCTAAACAATTTTTTGAACTCCAATTGGTCCAAATCTAATAAGACTTAGAGACCTGGTTCCGTATCGTGATTGGGTTAGAAGTTATGGCTTGAAAAGCTATGGCAAAACAAAAAAAAACCACTTTCTTTTCTAGTGGTCCAAATCTAATAAGATTTCGACCATAGTTAGTATCAAAAAGACCTCAAACTTTACCTTTAAATAACATTTTTCTAGTTATCTAAAGGCCGAAAGAAGGGTTCTATGAATAGGATAGGGACCTAGAGCCCAGGAAAGTTCCCAAAGAGGGGTTCCTTTCAAAAAATTGGAACCAGAAACCTACCCAGTCCAGTCTTTAGACCCCTATCCAAGAACCATTGATTCTGGCAAATTCACTGGTAGACTGTTACATTCAAAACAAGATTGAATAATCTTGCTTCTGATCACCGACGGAAAAGTGGATAAAAAATGGAAGACCCAGAGTATAGAAAAAGAAAAACTGGAGGACTCCCAGTATCCCCATTTACCTGTCTACATGGAAGCAAGCATTCTGAATAGGCATTCCTTGTTAGACTGAAGTTTGAACTCATTCATTAGTGGTTGATTGCCTAAAAGCCTTCAAGATGTTCCTTTATGCACGGAAAATATTTACATTCTAGGGATCAATCTCTAATCACAATTCCACCTTAATCTGTGCATTCTCACCATCCTTGCCTTCATTCACATTCTCGGCGAGACTTGTTGAAACAATACTTCCACTGTTGTACCCATCTACTAGCAGCTTTCTTATCTTTGATCTCCATTCTGAGCTGTCACTTTCATTCTTCCGGTCATGAACAACTCTGTCACGGTAGTTGACCATTGTTCCCAAGCCAGTATTTGGTATCCAACCATACTCCATTAACACCTTTGCCTCGCCTTCAGTCAAGTCTTCTCCAACCTGAACCGAAGATCAGATGCAGATACTTCAATGAAAACATCTCATTGTATCAATTAACCTAGAGATGGAGTCAGTTCTGCTTCCCTAGTCTTCAAATCACACACAAAATCTATCAAATTGATGTTCTCAATTCTTGTATTCTGTATTACTACATTTTTAGAAAACATAACCCATGAAAAAAAGGATATTCAATGTATTCATTTTTCTGCAAACACACTAAGGAAAACTCTGGCAGAAAAAGAAAAAAAAAGGTCTTTTGAAACTCTAGCAAGTTGGTTTTCCTCATGCTTGACAAAAGCAGTCGAGTTTTAGGTAAGATACAAGTAAAAACTATAATCATGAACTTAGAGATAAAACAACTTTTAAGGAAAGGAAACTAAGCAAGGAAAATGAAGTTATAGCCCAGTTATCCATAAAGAGCTCTGAGCATATAACAATGACAAACTCTGACACAATTGAACAAATAGTCAAGCATATGGACTGATAAAAACCAGATTAATATTCCACCCTTTTTTTCTGTATTCCAAACTCATTTTTCAGAATATAATTTGAAACATTCAATTGAGAATGGAGTAACATTCTCATGGGCGTATACAAGCTGCAAAGCCCCATAGAATATCTATGATGATTTTCAATTGATCTAAAAGAAAATGTATACCCAAAAAAAAAAGGAAAACTAATTTCTTATTTTTCAATGTGAAAAAAAACAACAAATACTAGTAATAACATACAAACAGCCTTCACGAAATAAGACTCAGTGCTTAATAGAATCTTAATTCTGAAAAGCCCAAAAAAATATCATATTTGTGATGACCTCAAGGTAAGAATTTCACATAGGCTTCTTTCTTATTCTATTTAAATAAGAATACTCATAGGCTTCCTCCATATCCCCCGAAAAGATAATCTACACACTAGACTAGACTTTTGAGCAACAATGAAAAGGAAATAATTTATCCATCTACCAATTAGAAAACAAATACATTTTTAAAACATAATAACAAAGCCTTCTCACACTTTGTGGTTATCTAAAAGTACCAAACAAAGCCTTTTCCTCATCTCCTTCTAAATTGGTGCTACTGCCACGTTTCTGGACTTCAATTTTTAATCTTAGCCTTTTAATACACTCACGCATCTATTTTGCTATTCTCATCTCAACTACACCCCATCTTTTGTGTATGCTAATACTTAACAGCTGAACATTCATGGCCATTGTACATTTCATTGCTGTCATATAGAATTTTCCGTTGAGTTTAAAGGTTTCCATTTCATACAACAAACTAGGATCCCATGGTTGAATCTTCATCAGTTTTTTTTTTTTTTATAATTGGGGGAGGAGGGATTTGAACCCTGCTCTTTAAGCAAAGGGATCATGCACCAACCAATGAACTAAATGCTCGGGTGCTTCATCAGTTTTATCATTCTCCTTATCCAGAATCAAGATGTTAAAACTTGTTTTGTGGTATATTATAATCTCCAATTTAACTAAATAAGCAATTTACAAGTTTCCTTTTAACAATGTTATAACTTGTCATTCTGTAGTTATGATAGTAAATTATATATTGCTCAACAAAAACCAAGCAAAAATTATAGAATTTATAACACATAAATCCATTTGCCAAGAAATCCAACATTCTGACCAAAGCACTAGCAGTTATCAAAATAAAAGGAATGAATTATTACCGACAACGGTTTATTCTCAATCAGCGTAATCCTGCCACAGCTAGTAAGCTTCATGGCAGTCACCAATCGCCTGACCTGCCAGTCAATGGGTAAGGAATCTAACAGCTCAAAAAAGTATGTTGCATAACCATATTCCGGGCGTTCTAGGACTATTCTGCATTCAGGTCAAAATAAAATATCAAATCATCCAAAATAATAAATAGGAAAAAGCAGAGTTCAAAACATAATTCATTTTGCACATTATTCACCTGTGATGTCTGTTAAAGACAAATATAAATGATTGAAGATCTCGGCACCAACCCCATTCAACTGGCCATCTACGAAACTGCAGATACCGGGTCTGAAAGAGCAGGAAAAGATTAGAAAAAGTATAAATTATTCAAGCAATTATTACTGACGATAGAGAAACTTATTATCACACAGAGATTCAAGATATTTAAGTCATAGAAAGCTTTTTACCTGCTCCACAAGTGAGAATAGGCAAGCCAAGCAATAACTAGGTTTTGAGCCCTTTGTGCATCGAAAAGGGCCAAACTTCAATAAACAGCTGCGCTGAGAAAGTAGCTGCAAACATTATTAATATAAAGGTACCATCAGAATTCAATTAAAAGGAAAAGCATCTTCATCCAATGTGGTAAAAAAACTTTTGGAAACTAGAGAAATCTGAGTTTATAGATAATTAACATCCCTGCTCAATGCTAATTAAAAATGTTCAGACAGTCTTATCCTTTACATACTGTCAAAGAGAAGCTACAGAAGAAATAATTAATATAGTGTCCATTTTAAAGTTAGATGAAAACTACCAACTTAAAATTGTCTTTTGAACAGTAGGTGCGGTTCTTAAACCCAAATAAACCATTGACCAACTTACACCCATCTTTGTGGTATGATGTGTACACGCATGCATAAAAACATAAAACAAAATAATTGTATAATATTTTTCGCAGGCAATTCAAACTGATCCTAGCGGATCAAATTTATCCATAGTAGAACACCAAGTATTTTATAAAAACAACAAACAAATTTGAACCACAAATCATTTTCAGTTCTATTTGGCTTGAGCTATTTCTACTAATTGATTTAATGCTGCTGGAAATTATTTCAAACCACTATTATTCATTTCATTAAGTTTTTCTCCCAAACCAAAACCATGTCGAACTAATGCGGAGAAGTGCAAGATCACAAGTTCTTCCACGTGTCCAACTTTAACACTACTACTCAATTCATTAGAGCCCTTAAATAAGCAGAAAACAAATTGTCTTTACATTTTGCATGCAACTTATTCAAATAGGAAAGTTCTCAGCAATGATTGGGGAATAATACCATTAATCTATTTATAGTGATAGTCTAGCTCCTTATTTAAATTCAATGAAGTTACAACTTTACTTGGTAGCTTATTTATAGATAAACCAAATATTAGCTCTTAGTTTTTCAAATTTTTGCAAGTATCTTTAGAAATTGATCAGTCAGATCCCTTTGAATTAAGCAACAAAACACACTGAAAAAAAAAACAAAAACAAAACTGCACAAAATGAGTATGAAAAGCAACAGCAAATGAAATTCCGATGTCATAACCCTTGTAAACCTTTGTCATCACAGCTTCAAGCTCTGAGAAGCTGTCTTCGTCGAATGATTCATCTAAGGCATCATCACTCTGTGACTCCCCATAAAGCTTGATTTCATCAACTGACACACCTTGATCAAGCAAAACCTGGAATTGAAACATTTAAGTAACCAGATGATGAAAATGAAGCCCTAGTAGCTTTAAAGTACACAAACAACCAGCCATGCAGACAGTACCTTGAGAAGTCCAGGTGCATCTTCCTCTAAAGCTGTTTCAACTGAATCCCTGCAATTAGTTTTCACAAGCAATAAGTTCCTGAGACATCAATTACAGAGAAGCACAATTCAAAAACAGTGGGTGCAACTAAAGGGCAAAACAGATCCTACGTGGCAGTCTTCTTTCTTTTCCTTCGATGGTGTACCATTATTGGTTTGGCAGACTCTGAAACAATGGGGATAACTCCAAAGGCAGCAGGCCCAGCTTTCCTCAAGCACTCAAAGTTCTTGGAAGCATTAAATTCAAAATCCTCAATCGATTTCAGCAGCTTCATCCGATCGCATAGTAGCATATGGTCTATCCCATCAGAGATGTCCTCTTCACACTTCACTGATACCATGTTACCCAAAGTGCTCTTTTCTGGATTTTGAAAGTTACTGCAATCCAGTTGTTCAACTTTGACTTTGACAGAAGTATTTGGAGTTGAACTGTATATATTATCTGTTCTTGTAGGAGCAGAATCATCTCCATCACGTGCCTTGAACTCCATGGATGTTCTCTCAGAGGAATATATTATGCTGCTTTCTTCCTTTCTATTTCCTGACCTAGCTGCTTCAGTCCCTACACAACAACCAGGTAATAGTGAATATTGTTTATCTGTAACAGACAGTGCACAAACAATACAATTTGATGTACCAGTTGCGGAAGTTCTTTGGAGATCAGAAGCAGTCCTGGTAGGAATGTCATTAAATTCATTTCCAGCCAACCAAGATTCTCCATCAACAAATTGAAGCTCTTCTTTGATCCTCCCAGCAGAGTATTCCAAACTAGATGAACCATTTGCAGAACAACTAGAAAGATAAGAGGCATTTCTTATAGGAATGTCATTAAATTGATTTCGAGCTATCATACATTCTCCATCAGTGGGCTGAAGCTCTTGTTCAATTCTCCCGGCAGAGTATTCGATAAGATCTTCTGCCAACCCCACAGAAGTACCCTATGTACCATTAATTAAGTTATATAAAAAACAGAAAATAGAAAAGAAAAAAAAAACAATTCAAAAGGGTGAAGGAAGATGCTTGAATATAAGCATACACCATATATACCCTAACAGCAAGGATCCACACATCAACCATGAGCTAAGAAATCAAAGTTCAGACTTCAGAGTAAAATTATCCTCAATTCAACAACTGTAATCAGTAGAAGAGACATTTGGCAAAGAGAGAGAGAGAGAGGAAAAAACTCGTTGCAATTTCTATTCACTATCCAATCCTTTTATTCATAAAAGAGGTAGTGGGTAAAGAAGAAACTACAAAGGACAATTGAGACAAATTGAAACAAAGTTTTCCCATAAAATTGGTACAGACAATGTATAGAAACCGCCATATTCTAAGCATGTTCGGCAGGCTTTGAAGAAAAACAGCGGTTTTACTTCCAACATCAAAAAACACAGATAATTTACCTCTAGAATTGGTTTTGCCAATTCCAGCAAGGCAAGAGAAGAGAAAGCAAGGAAAGAAAAAACTCAGATTTAACTTCTATTCCCCATTTAATCCTCGTCTTCATAGAAGAGGCAAGGTAGTGGATATAAAAAAAAAAACAAAGTACACTACTTTAAAATGGTAAATGAAGGTTTCATCAAACTGGTGTAGAACTACTATTGTGTTCTCGGCAAGATCCTGCAACCTTTGAAAACAAAGAGAGGCCATAGTTCCAACTTCAAAAAAGACAAATTACCTCTAGAGCTGGCTTTTCCAATTCCACCAATTTCCTGCAAATCACACATAAAAATTAACAATTCCTTACCTTGTCCAGAATTCTGGAAAATTACAAAAAAGAACAGAGGGAAAAGAAAATTTCCAAAAAGTACAACATATTAACCCGTGGCCTAACTTGAAATAAGCAATAATTACCAGAGACAAAATGGCACCTTTTAAAAAGCAATTTTCGTCTTTCTTTCAATACAATGTGGTCAAGTTCACCAAATGTAAAGTCACTGAACTTTTTATCCATGGTATTCACAGCTATAACACCAGTATTGGCAGAACTATTTGTATCATCTTTTGATAAACTAAGCAGCATGCTATCAGCACAGTCAACCTTCATAATATCAGAAACATTTGGAGGCAGAAGGACATCAACATTAACTTTCTCCGGCCCAGAAGCATCAGCATTAGCTTCAGTACCTGTCAGCTGGTCTGCTGGACTTCCTTGGCTGTTGCCACTTATAGGCAAACTCACATATTGGCAAGAAGCTTCAACACCAGTATAGGCAGAACTATTTGTATCATCTTTTGATAAACTCAGAAGCACGTTATGAGCACAGCCAACCTTTACAATATCAGAAGCATTTGATGGTACATGATTTGAAGGCAAAGGAACACCAACATTGGTTTTCCCCATTGCTGAAGCATCAGCATTAGTCCCAGTACCTGTCAGCTGATCTGCTTGACTTCCTTGGCCGTTTCCATTTATAGCCAAACCTACATCTTGGCAAGAAGTGGCATACTGAGAACCTTGACCAACTGCACCAGAACCAAAGGGATGACTTTCTTGTGGCAAATCTTGATGCACCTGATGTCCAACAGAGCAAGGAGGGAAAGAGAGAAGGCCCTGCATATACCACTCGCCAATATATATAACATGGGAGAAAAATTAGAAACAAGCAAACAAGAGCAAGTCAAAACGTAAATACACATAACAAACAATAGTTGCCCTCTTTTTCTGGCCACCAATAGTTGCTAATTTTGAAATTCACATGAAATGGCAATACTTTTAGTCTTATATTCATTTGGCATCCAACTTAGAGTGATCTCATTTCAACTACAGAAGATAAAGCTCATGTTGTTTACAAACAGGACATCCAGATGTCCTACACACAGTCCACTCTAGTTCAACAGATGAAGTCACCTAGCATGTTAAGCCATTAGATCAAATAAACTCAACAACCAGAGAGGAAAGAACTTACTTAAACAATCAACCACACTAACAAAGAAATTTCCTTTTCAAGTCACCATTTGGACTTGATATTGATCCATACTAAGTTAAAAAAGTATGCCATTGGAAAATGCACTTATGATACACCATTAGATCTGTTCCTTGTATTTCAACCCTTTAATAACTGAAGGGAAGAGGGTGAAAATGAGAAAAACAGAGGAACAGAAAAGAAGACAAAAAATAGATTCTTTATTGAACATCAAATTCTGGATCAATGAATTAACTCAGGAGTGAATGGAAGTTACAATCACAAATCCCCAACCCTAGAATTCGGGGGGTTGAGAACCGAAAAAAAAAAAAAGCATATGCACACATAATAAACAAAAAAGAACAAATGAACACATCTCTCTCTAGGGATCCTACCCTGAGACATTCTTCCTTCCTATGTCTTAACCATACTGAAATTCTTCTCTTTTCACTTGTCCCCTAAGCCTTAATATGCTCATGCCCCTCACCTCCAAAGTTCAAACTAATATCATAGAGAGTCAGTAATACCAACTCGTCTGCTCCCACCATCGCGAAAGATTTCAAGCATCGATGGACGTACAATTGCCAGAACAATAATCCCCCCAAAACAAACAATTAACAGAAATAAATTCCTCTCATCACCCCAAAAAAACAAATCCTCCAAAAGCAAAGTTCCTAATTTCCTGTGCACCCTTTCAGCCCCTTTTGTTTCGTTTTTTTGAATAACCTCCATTTAGACCTAGGGAGAAAAGGTAAGCATACATCATAACCTCCCATTTCAATTTACAATATGTAATCAAAGCATCATAGGTAAAGTAAACACTTGAATTAAACTTCACAACCAAAAAAAAGAGCAATAACTAAATCAATAATTACAGTCACAAAACTTTAAAATCCCATTTTTATCCACCAAAACTAAAACCAATGAGCAAATTTCGTCACAAAAACTAATATTCAACGAAAGAGAATGGAAACTTTAAGTAATTACCCGGGAACTGGAGCTTCCATCTTGGTTTTTAAATGCAACGGTGCAAGAAAGTAATAATTTTCGCCTTGTTGCTAATGGCACATGTTCAAGCAGCTCCTCAACTTCACCCTCCGGAACGCAGAGACAAGCCATTTTTTTTTCCTTTGTTTAATCAAATCTAAAACAAAAGAGAAACCGCCAGAGAGAGTAATTAAAAGAAAAATATTTAATTTAGGGTTTCCATAATAGCAGGTTCAAAGAAGAAAACGAAATTTCGAGAGGCAAGCGTTTAAAATGGCGCGCCAGTGGGAAACTTTGATTGTCAGAGACAGATAGGAGTAACAGAGAGACAGAGAGGAGGAAGGTTGGGGTAGTTTTTTTTTTTTCTTTTTTTCCAAGCTTTAATTGAAGTGAGCTGCGGACTACTAACCCAACGGGGGTTGGCTATTGGGCTGCGCGTTACAAATCCAAGAGCGATCATAGTATCGTTATTTCACGATAAGCCATATATATTATATGATATAATATTAATCAAAAATAATACATATTTAAAAGTATGTTATATTTTAATTAATAAATTAATATGAAATATATATTTTATTTAAAAATTTATATTATTAAAAACTATGTTGAGATTTAATTTAAAAAATCATCTTTTCAATTTATAATTTATAATCTTTAATTTTGTTAAAAAAATATAATTTTTTTTAATTTTTTATTTTACATGTATAAAATTTTTTGTAATTAATTTTAAAAAATTTTACCATATCTTACAATACGATACAATACTCGATGTTCGATATTAAAAAATAAAATTTTTATATATAATACGTATCTTGATTTAACAACTATAATCTTATCACATATTATTTTGTTTGCTTATTTATTATTTTACTTTAACTTTGATTGTCTTTACCTCAACCAAACTACTTTGCATATAGTTACCAATCAAAATTTAATACAAAGGCAAGCATATTGAAAATAATTGTCTTATCAATCTAGATTACTTGTTACTTCATATGATTTTACTATTGGTTAATGTTAAAAAAAGAGAAATATTATATTTTGAATTATGTGCTTTACAATGAGATTAAAAAGGTACATTATATACAAAGGATTTTTCATGATCTATGAGAGAATTATATTAACAATATCGTCATCAACCAAAATCGCACTCATTTAACCTATAATCTGTACAATTGTTATAATTATATTAATATATCCCTTAAAATTAAAAATAATACAATAGATGCCAAGTTGAGTTTAGAACCGAACTATTGAAATTGACTAGGAAGACTAGCCTCATGATACACCACTTGTTTTCAAACCGACTTGACATTGCCATGGATGCTGTGTTTTATTAGAATTGTGAAATTTGACCCCCAACGTTAGAAACTAAATTTGTAATGGCAATGAATTTAGTTTTAATTGTAAAAGTATTTTTACCTGTGTTTATATACAGTTATGTTAAATTTACTTGTATAATAATCATAATTTTTAATCGCAAGTGTACTAACATTGTAAACATATGTATACTCTAGTGTCTATAATTGAAAAGCCTAGCTATAAGCTATTCCTTAATACATTTACTCATATCAAAAGGATATAATTGCTCGCTTTTTGGGAATCAGTAGCAAAATTTTAACTCATTCCAAAAGTACAGAACAAAACAATTTACCATTATCAAAGGGAGTAAAGGTAAAGAACCTGCTGTGATTGGTAATTCAATTAATCATTCTAAAAAGTAAGGCAAAAAAAGAAATATGACCGTTGAGACCAACCCAGGAATCCTTGGTGTCGCCCCAAAGCCATAGGGTGCTGTTCTTTGTTTGTATCTAAGCAACGGGCACCCCACAAACCCATAAAAACTCTGCTCCATGTCTCAAACACACCACTGAAAACAGGGCTGTTGTTAATAAGTAACGGCTAAATCTGAATACTAAAAGAAAAAAGCTGCCCGGGCCTTTGGGATTGGGTTTTTCTTATCATATAGTCCTTAAGATACTGTCCATTATTTGCTGCAACTGTGAAACAATGTTGCAGATAATATCTTAGCCGTTCATCTTCTGACAATTTTATTACTACATGTTTTACGAGTCATTTGTCTCTCTGTTTCTCTTTGCTTTGCCCCACCTTCTTTTACTTTGGTTTTTTTCTTGTTACCAGTTTCACGTTTATAAGTCTTTGGCTTGTATGTAGCCCTCCCTTAGTCCCTCTCTCTCTCTCTCTTTTATTTTCTTACACCTTTGCCCCATTTCCTTTTACTTGTTTCCAGGTCTTGTTGCCATTTTCCTCATCTCACTCTTTGCTTCCTTTCTCTCTTCTCTCCAGTATAGAGTAATCTTGTTTGTTTGATCAGAATCTTTTGAGGGTGTCTTTTCTATGGCTTTGCTTACTCTTCTTCTTCTTTTGGCAGTTTCTTCTCAAGCAACAGCAGATGAAGGTAAGCCTTTATTTTTTTTTTCTCCTCCTTCCTCCATGTTTGTTTGAGAAGTTCATGTAAAAGGATTTGGCAACTAAGCCTCTGTTCATGAGTTCTTCAAATGCTTTGTAATGGGGGCTCACAGTGTCTAGATGTTCTTCTGTCCTTTTTTTCAGTCATTTTAGTGCTAGAAATTTGATGAACATGTACTGATCAAGTAACTTAAAAGAGTCAAAACAAATCTCAGAAGATGTGGTATGTCTGGCTTGGACTTTTTTCCATTTTATTTTTGGGTTATTTTATCTGGGGAATTTAGTAGGTTGAAAGCATTAAATTACAGAATAACTGAGGACAGAAGGGAGGTTGGGGGGTGTTAAAGATATGGGAAGAAAAAATATATAGGCCCTACACGTCAGGAAACAACACATAACTGATAAGTCCCCTGGAAAGCAAGGTATAACCGTCTGTGAGGGCGCTCCGTTATTTTAATGCGGGCCAGCGATTTTCTCTTTGCATCGTGGAGGCCAGCTTTCATGATAGGGGATTTCAGGAATGTTTGCCCCTCACTTTGTACATATTTTCTACAACTGCATTCTTTGTTGAATATAGATACAAGGAATAGGAAATGAAAACCCAAGACAAAAGGTACCGCCAAATTCCAATATTGTCTCCCAGCTAAAGCCTAGAGATCATTTCATTCTAGACCTTTATATTTTCCAAGAAAAATAGAATCTTGGGTTTCGTCTTGGTAGCGAAAACAGTCAAAAAGTTTAGCGGATCTAGGCACTTTTTCATAGATATTAGAACATGATGTTGGCATTGGAATAGGGAACATACCATGCTCCATCATCTTTAGTTTTTTTTAATCTTTATTATGTAGCTAGCAAGCACCCATGTTATACATTTTATCTAAGGAAAGATTAGATAGATATGTCTCTTTGTTGGAATTCTAGTAAACACGAGGAGTTGGTTGCACCTATGGGGTTGCTTTTGTGGTAAAGGACAAATATGTTATGACAAAAGAATAGTTGGTAAAAAAAAAAAGAAAAAAATCAGAAAATAAAAATAATCTCTCCTCAAGGTTAAGGTCCAAGGTTTGAATTTCCTCTAAAGCATGCATTGATAATGATAAGACTAACTGCATCAGGAAGATGCATTGCTATGCAAAAGATTTGATGAAATATACATGCAACAATTGTAAATGTTGAAGCAACAATTAGCTGCCAAATCAATGTACTAATGGAAATGTGTAGTCAGTAATTCTTTTGGATTAATGTTGTTGCAGATCCCTATATTGGTGTGAATATAGGAACAGACCTATCAGACATGCCGCACCCAACTCAAGTAGTTGCTCTTCTTAAAGCCCAGCAAATCCGACATGTTAGGCTATACAATGCTGACCAAGGCATGCTAGTTGCTCTTGCAAACTCTGGCATTCGAGTTATGGTCTCTATCCCCAATGAGCAAATCCTTGGCATTGGCCAATCGAATTCCACTGCAGCTAATTGGGTCTCCCGGAACATTGTAGCACATTATCCTTCAACCAACATAACAGCAATTTGTGTAGGTTCTGAGGTTTTGACTACTCTTCCTAATGCAGCACCACTCCTTGTGAATGCCATTAAGTTCGTTCACTCAGCCCTTGTGGCCTCCAATTTGGACAACCAAATCAAAGTTTCAACACCTCTTTCGTCCTCCATAATCCTTGATTCTTTCCCACCTTCTCAAGCCTTCTTCAATCGCTCTTGGAATCAAGTTTTGGTTCCAATGCTCAATTTCTTGCAGTCTTCAGGCTCATTTCTCATGCTTAATGTATACCCTTACTATGACTATATGCAATCAAATGGTGTGATCCCACTAGACTATGCACTTTTCAAGCCTCTCCCTCCAAACAAGGAAGCTGTCGATGCCAACACACTTGTCCACTACTCCAATGTCTTTGATGCTATGGTTGATGCTACATACTTCGCCATGGCTTTTCTAAACTTCACCAACATTCCTGTTATAGTTACTGAAACTGGCTGGCCATCAAAAGGTGATTCCAATGAGCCAGATGCAACAATAGAGAATGCCAACACTTACAACAGCAACTTGATCCGCCATGTGCTAAACAAAACTGGAACTCCTAAGCGCCCTGGAATTTCTGTTAGTACTTACATCTATGAGCTCTATAATGAGGACATGAAACCAGGGCCAATCTCAGAGAAGAATTGGGGATTGTTTGATGCAAATGGGGACCCTGTTTATATATTACGCTTGACCGGGTCAGGATCGTTGTTGGCCAATGATACTACTAACCAAACATACTGTACTGTGAAGGAGGGTGCGGATCCAAAGATGTTGCAGGCTGCTCTAGATTGGGCTTGTGGACCTGGCAAGGTGGATTGCTCACCATTGTTGCAAGGAAAACCATGTTATCAGCCAGACAATGTGATTGCACATGCAACTTATGCATTTGACACTTACTATCACCGGATGGGGAAGACTTCTGATGCATGTAACTTCAATGGGGTTGCAGATATTACAACCACAGATCCAAGTAAGATGGCATGTTGTGTCTGCTATATTAATGTAACCTTCTTTTCTAGATTGAAAGCTTACATTGGAAGAAAACTAATTCCAATTTTACGTATTGGTGCAGGTCATGGTTCTTGTCTTTTTCCAGGAAGGTAAATATTTTACCGGTTTGGCTTAGAGTTTTTACTCATTGCATAAGATGAATATGAATCCTTCTCCATCAACTAGCAGTGAAAAACTCATTTAATTTTGGTTTGATGTATGCTGCAGCTTTGGCAGGAATGGGACCATGGTAAATATTACAGCGCCATCCATGAATTCTACAAGTTCTGGTTCACCTGGTCGAAACTTCTATGGCAGTGGAAGTTTGACTAGCATTTTAGTGCTAATCAAAGTGATGCTCTGGAGTGTAATTTTCTTGTAGGCTTGGTGATTGGTATATTTTGGGATCTTTTGCAAATTTATTCTAGCAAGTTTTGGGAGTCGAGAAGTTGGTCACAGGGACTTTTTTCCCTTATTTTGGAGATGGTGACCTTGGTGGGGTTTGTAGGAAGAGTTGGCCTTATTCAATTTTGTACAAAGTAAGGTGAAGCAGCCACAGACCTTTGCTAAGATCTCATTAAATCCTTATTCTTTGCAGATTGGATTTGCATGTTATTATCAAAATCTATCTTATTCCATCAATTACTTTTTGTTTTTTTTTCTCATTTTATACATAAGAAAGGTCAGATTGACATAACAAAGCAACCATCTTCCATCTTATAATCCTCATCCTCCTTTTCAAGAGTTACTAGTGATCATTTCATAGAGCATATTTCTAACTTTATTTCTTAAAATCTATGTATGTGCATTACATAGAGCATATTTCTAACTTTTTTCTTATAATTAAATAAGGTCAATGCCAAAACTTGAATAACACTCACTGAAGGATTTACTCAAAATCTAATCTATATTACCTCTAGAGAGCAATATCATAAGATAATAAAAATATTTAAATCTATATTTATTTTATTTAAATAAAAATATAAAAATTTAATGAAATATAATAAGATAATAAAAAATTAAATTTTTTAAAATATTATATTATTTAAGGGGGAAATGTTAAGCACCCAATCTCATTCTCAAACATAATAAAAAAATTAGCTTTAAAATCTTGACCGTCCAAAATCCGATCTAAAACGGGTTGAACTCACGGGTTTGGGCGGATGATCCAAACCCTAGGCCAAGTCTTGAACACATATCTACCAATTCCGGTAAACCCTAGCTTTGATTTCTTTTATCTTTTGAACTATATAAATCACCCCAACCTAAACCAGCCGAATCCAACCCAATCTTTTCACTCAAACATCACTTTCTCAATAGCATCTCTCTATGATCCTCTGTGTTCTTATAAAACATAACATTAGCAGGATACGAAATGATGCAATATCAAAGGTACTTCTGGACTTGCAGTTTCCATAATTTATTTGTTCTTTCAATGGATTCTTGCTTTTTCTCGTAGGTTCCACAAGTATTAAAATCTGGGTTTTGTGTATTTTTCTGCTTCTTTGCTCAATGATGATTGATATTTGCTTTAACCACACTGAAAACGGAGATCTTGGAGTTGGGGTTTTTAAAGTTATATTCTCTTTGGTTTAAGACGAAGGAAAAATTTGCTATGCTTTTAGTGTTTGGTTTTTGCTTGATGATTCTGTTTTCTAGGAGTTGAGGTTAAGTCCTCTTCGTTTAGACTATGGAAGAAAGCTTTGTCAAGCACTTGAAGTTTTGGCTTTTTTGTTTGCCTTAAACTTTAGAGAGGAAACTTACCTTCTTCTTGGTCTCTAATGTGGAAAAATTTGGCCTTTCAACTGAGAGCAATTAATCCCCTTACTTTTCTTATGGGTGTTGCTTTTCTTGATATCTTTTAAGTGGAAAAGTGTTTATTCTTTTAATTTTTAATATGGGTTCTTTTTTTTTTTGTCATTTGTCTTCTTCTTTCTCATTTCTTTGAAGTGATTTTTCTTTAAAGAAATTTTCATTTGGTTTCTTTATTTCTGACTTGTTTTTAGTGATTTTGTTTATTGTTTTGGGCTGCTTTGTGTGAGGGTTCAATGATTGATTTGCCTTAACCAGACTGTAAAAGAACTGGGAAAATTTTACATAAATGTTTCAATTCTTTCAGGGATTAGAGGTTTTTCTCTGGCATTTGAAGTATGTGGGTATTTTTGCTTATTTCCTTTGGCTTAGATCTTTGAGAGTTTTGCCTTCCAAATAGTGTTTTTAATGGAATTCAGCATTTAATTTTGAGATATTGGGATATGATGACAGCTTAATTGCTGGATAGTATCTGAGGCGCAAGCTTTGAAGATTCATCTTTTGCACGTCAGTCTGATCCCAAATTTCCTCAATACCAACATTTTTCTAAAACGCAAAATAGTAGTCAATAAGCATCTTTGGTTTTTTTTTTTTAAATGGAAAATTTGAAAGGTATTTATTTATATAAGCTGCGAGCTACAAGTTACAAAACTTATATGGTGGGTAAAACAAATCACTCCATTTGCATTTTTGAGCAGCGAGGATGATAACATGGACCCATCGGATTGAAAACTATGAACTAATTCCTAGCATGTAAAAATGGATTGAGAAATAAGTCAATGTGGCTTTGGTGCAAGGGCAGGAGTAGGGGCAGACGCAGAGGCTAAGCTGGATAACAACTTCTCTGCCAGCACTTCATTTGCTGCATCTGATGGATGGAATGCATCCCAAAATACATAGTCCTTGCGTTCATTGCACAATCTTGAGTTTGGCAAGCATAAACCCCCAATGCTTGTATCAACGTTGCAACATGATGTATTAGAAATCTTAAAACCTGAAAAATGAGGGAGAGACACAGAGAGGGATTGAATTAGTTTCATAACAATTAACGAGTAATAGAAGAACGGGCAACCTCCATAGAGACATTTGAAGGAGAATGGACAAAGAATAGGATAAAAGAGGATATACCATAGGTTGAGGGGTTGTTGATCAGGTCAAGAACTGCTGGATATGTATCAGCAAAAATCATCTGTGCATTCGGGAGGCGTCTGTTTAGAGAATTTATCAGGTATTGCACTTGGGAGTTGAATTCCATCACCCATTCATTCACTCTCTTCAAGCATTGGCCTGTTTGCGATTTCACTCTCTGAGACGGAATGCAGCCTAATGGTCCAAGGCCATGGTACAAAACCTTTCGCGCCCCAAGTTGGTAAAGCCTCTGTCATTCGGCAGCTAAGTTTATCAAAACTAGAACTTGTTGGTCAAGAAAACGATGTGGATAATATATAAAACTTTGAAATATCCTAGTCCTTAATTGAAGATTTTAGATAAAAGTGGGTGAGAAAGAGATCTTATACCAAAAGCTGTTGCTCTAAAGTTGTAGTCAAAAGTTCAACAAATTCATCATGTGTATACTGCTGCCCAGCTGGCAGAAAAGGCTGCAAGTAATTGTTTACATAGTCATTACTGCCTGCAAAATGCAAAAGAAAATCTAAGTTTATTAAGGCTGGAAATAAAGAAGAACATTGTAAACGGAAGGAGATATACTATGATTGGCATCCATTTTACTAGTTTTTTTCCCTTTTAGGATGAAGTTTATATGGTTTTCAAAAGCATGAAATTTGTTTGAAAAGGTTAGTTCTGTGCAATTATTTTGACAAAAGGATGCATACCAATTCCAATGAAGTACATGGCCTCATTGCAAAGCTTATTGGCAGCCTCTTCACCTTTTTTAGCCCTGATGATTTCCTTTGTCTTTTTAAAGTAATTTATCTGATCATCAAATGTTAATCTCTGAATCTGCAATACAAAGATTAATAAACAGAACAAAATTAATTCTAAACATGAATAGATCTAGATCAATGTAAATGCTAGGAGTGGAATAAAAAATTTCAATGGAAATTACAAAATATAGCCCTGTGTCATTGAGAATTCCTGCTCCACCAGAAGCATAATTAACACCATTAAGAATTGCATCATCATTTTGTAACAAGGAAAGATAAGGTGGTGGCGATGAACTCCCAAGCTTTTCAGCTACAAATTCCACAAAATCAACAAGGAAAGAAGTCATTAATCTTAAGTAGTTTAGCAGAAGAAGCTAATTTCCATTCTAAAATGTCCCATGGAATTCAGAAGCTAAGTCAAATATAAACTGATATAGTTAGAATTGATACATATGATATCGCCAATGGTTCTTCCGTTTGTGAATCTTCCCGTAGCCTGCTTGCCAGTATAATCAATCCCATACCAGGGATAATCAGACCTTGCTAGAGAATACTGCAGATGGTTGTTGTTTCCAACTTCTGCCAATGAATCCCCAAAAACAAATGTGACCGAAGATGTAGTTGCAGCTGAAGCCAAGGTTCCTAATACCAAAACAATTGTTGCTGCAAAAACCAGCCATCGCTTTGCCATCTTACTCCTTTTGAGTGTTAATGGACTAGCAGACTGTGGCATGGATTTATAGCAAGCTTGCAGGCAATCTGTCAACTTTTTAGTCATGCCCATTTCTCCAAGTTTGAACATAGTAGGTGAGTAATTTCAACCCCTGGAAAATACTAAGGGTGCAAATTAGGCTCTCTAGCTTCTCAGTATGATAAAGGGTGATTGTGTAAGTTTTAGAGGTTATTGGTCTCTGTGTCTAGCAGTTGGCCAACTCACTGCATTAAGTCTTGACAGATGACAGTTAGTTTTGTTAGGTTTTGCGATTGCTGGAACAATGGAATTTGCCCACTCAGACTGGACAGTTAAATTAACATTTAAGAAAAGCAAGCGCACGTATTTCTTCATTTACTTGCTCAACTTGTTGATTAATTAGTGCCTAATGGGTTTGAGTAAAAGAAGCTGCCCTGCCTTGCCTGCCAAGAATGCACATGGAGAAGGAACTAAATAATTTCGATACTTCCAAAAAATAAGAGGACATATGTCTAATTTCTATTGATCAAGAAAAAAAAATACGTTATACGCCAAAGCATTTTCAATCTCTTTTCTATTTTATAGTCTTCTTCTCAAATCAGCGTCAGACAATGCTAAAGAATACGTGAATAACAATGAATGACAATGCATAGCACCACTTCAGATCGATCCTACTGCATCAGTCACAAAAGAATACATCATGCACTATGTATGGATCAACCATGCCCTTTAACATCCAGCAAAAACAAAAATTTTTGGCATGATAAACACAGAATTGACTAACCCCCTCAATCAATATAAAAAGACTAACTCTTCCAGATCTAACTAAATCTAAACTACCATTATTCAGTTTATCAGTTATTCAGCAATGCCTGATATTCTCGCCATATAGTAATTTCTTTTTTGATGGGGAAAGCTTTAGTATTTCCACTAACTACATCCAGTTAATTTCTCCATATAGATGTTAAAAGCTTCAGTTTTCCCATCTCATAAATGTCTTGCAACAAGCATGTTAATCCTGAAAATGATCATAGCTGAACTTAGCAACAGAAGCATAGAAATTAGAAAGGCAAAAGAGTAGAATGATTGAAAGGGTTCCTCCAAAGCTCAGGTAGGAGCACCAATTTAAAAATGAAGTACTAAATTCCTGGAGTTTGGTGAAAAATTTAGCCTCCCAAGTACAGTAACAAAGAACAAAAATAGTTTCATCTTTATTACCAACTCAAGAATAATAAAGCACGTATAGCAAATGCCAACAGCTCAAGTATAACAGCATATGGATCACACCCACTAATAATAAAGCACGTATAGCAAATGTTACAGCTGAAGTATAACAGCATATTGATCACACCCACCAAAATAAACAACAGACTAAGCGTGAAAATGTAAAGAAATCAGGGAAAGAGATGCAAAAGAGACCTGTGAAAAAGCAAAATGAGTTGACCACACCCATCAAAATAAGCAACAACCTAGGCATGAAAATGTAAAGAAATCAGGGAAAGAGATGCAAAAGAGACCTCTGAAAATGCAAAATGAGTTGACCACACCCATCAAAATAAGCAGCAACCTAAGCATGAAAATGTAAAGAAATCAGTAACGAGGTGCAAAAGAGACCTGTAAAAATGCAAGATGAGTTGACCACACCCATCAAAATAAGCAACAGGCTAAGCATGAAAATCTAAAGAAATTAAGGGAAAGAGATTCAAATACGACGTGAAAATGCAAATGAAGTGACCACACCCATCAAAGTAAACAACTAAGCATGATAGTGCGAAGAAATCAGGGAAATAGATGCAAAACAAACAACAAACTAAACATGAACATGAAAAGAAATCAGAGAAAGAGGAAGAAAATAGGAAAAAAATAAGAAAAAAAATTTGGACCATTTCTCGATTTGTGCGTGTCATCCTTGCGCAGGGGCCATGCTAATCTTCTCTGTATCGTTCCAATTTTATCGGATGTCCCCGAAGGGACAAACGACCATCTTGCTTTCTGCAATATAAAAGCTTTAAGTGTTGTATGCACTAACGATGTGGGAGTTCTGGTTGGGTTTCAACTGCTGAACTAGTTCACGTCATCTTGACTAATCCTATGTGAAACCCGAAAATGTAGATGAGAAATTAAAAAATTCCTACAATGTCCTATAGTCACATCCAGATAAAGTTGACAAAAGTAATGACAGCTCCCTTCTCGGTTCGTGTACCTTCTTCAGAGGTATTTTATCTCTTTGAACTTTCATTCATAATTTCACTACATTTATTATAATTTGAAATGGACAGTACAGTATTAACAGCTAAACATAAAATATTTAATTTTTTTTCTTTTTCTATTTCATCCAAAAAGATGTGTCTCAATAAAATATCAACAGTTTGGTTTGAAGTGACACATGAGCAAGTTGAAAAGTCTTTTTAAGTAACATAATGACACACAAAGTAGCAATTAATCTCAATATAATTCATATGCTCACAAAAGACATCATTGTGAGTAATTCGAATAACACTTTAATTATCACAATGAAAGATAGTGACAAAAGAATTTATGATGTCCATATCCTCTAGTAATCGATAAAGTCAAAGAAATTGTAACTTAACATCCGAAAGAGCATGATATTTTGATTCAATATTAGAGCAAGCACTAATTGCTTATTTCTTGCTTCACCAAGAGATGAGAGAATCGTCATCAGAATACCTAGATAGAATAAGAGAAGAATGAGCAGAGAAATGAAGTCCACGAAAGAGTGTACCTTTAACATAGTAGAGAAAACAAAAAACAATTGAAAAAAAAAAAGTAAATGAGGCGCAACCATGAATTGATTGACTAAATGAAAAACATAAGCAATATTAAGTCTAATCACTATGAGATAGACCAAACTCTTAACAAATTGGCGATATAAAGTACGATCAAGAGGATGAGTACCATCCATCGGATTAAGTTCAACATTTAGGTTTCAAAAGAGTAGATATATATAGTCTTGTTGTCAATAATGCTAGCCCAATAAATAAATCGAATGCATGCTTAGCTTAAGAGAGATAGTAGCCATCAAAGTTGGAGGAGACTTCAACCCTAAGATATAACTAATAGAACCAAGATCTTTCATTTTAAAATATGGACTAAGATATTGTTGAAATTTTGCAATGCATGTCTTATTATCACTAATGAAGATCGTATCATCCACATAAAGAAATAGGATAATAATGCCACGAGCAGTATGCTGAATAAATAAAGCAGAATCGTAAAAGTTAGAAAGAAAACCAAATTGAGCAATAGTATAACTAAATTTGGCAATCCAAGCTCTTGGTGTTTGTTTCAACCAATATTAGGTTTGTTGAAGCTTATAGGCTTTATACATGAGAAGGATGAGAATAACCAAGTGGAGGTAATATGTACATTTTTTTCCTATAAATCACCATTGAGAATTGCATTCTTGACATGTTTTTGACGAAATGTCTAACGTTTTACAACAGTAATGGCTAAAAGGCTATGGGTAGAAGTTATGCAAGCCACAAAAGCAAAGGTTTCTTTATAGTTTACTCTTAAGTATAATGAGCTTTATAATGTTCAACATATCCATTTGAGTGTATTTTGATTTTATAAACTCATTTGCAACCAATAAAAGTCTTATTAGGAGATAAGTGATCAACTAAATCTCAAGTATGAGCGTTTTAAAGAGTCTAAATCTCATGATATGAGGTTCATGTGAGATTATAATATAAAAAAATGATGATAATTATGGAAATGGTTTGGAGTTTCTATTACTCGAAACGACTAAGATACTCAAAATTAATTACTAAATACAAGCAAAGACTACATGCATGTATACATAATTGCAATAAGTAATATAGTGATAAATTGAGTTTGTCGATCCCTTGAGGAGCTGATTTACTAGTTGTTGCTAATTACTTAAATTAAACAAGCTAATTTTATCCAAATACTAAATTTTGAAAAATAATTAAAAGTGATCTAATTAACTAATTCTAATCTAAAGAGTGCAAATAACAAATTGAGATGGAAGTAATGGTTTAAAAGTCTAAGATTATGATATCCTTTAATATTTCACTTGGAATGGTGTTTGCTTAATTACTTAATCTTAATGGAAATTGATGCTAATATAGAATCCTAAAACATGTGTAATTCTCCGTCAAGATATTACATAATTGCCTGATTTAATTGAATCGCTATATGCTTATGGGAAACAACTAAATGAAGTTCTTTAATCCTAGGTTCTAAAACTTAACTATGTGTGACATCTAGGCATATGTACCTAATTGCACATTAAATAGGGTGAAGTGTTAAACATCAAAATTATAGCTCTTCCTTTTATATTTTCATAGGTCTAAGAATCATGTCGATCGAAGTTTTGTAGCTCAAGATATGCTCCAATTACTACAATATGGTCTAAGGTCAACTTAAACTAAAGTGTATAATCTTTTACAAATTTGACTTCCAAGTTGATTTGTTCCTTCATCAACATATAGCACAATCAATAAAAAGTACAAACAAGACTTAAATACATGAAAATAAATTCAAATTACATAATTAAACTTCTAGAGTATGCATAAAATAAATACTAAGACAAATGAAAAAAACAAGACCTAAATTAATTAAACACAAAAAGAGTTTAGTCATTTTTAAGCTAAAAAAGAATTTAAGATAACTTTATAAAATAGAGTTATCAGTGGGAACAAGTACAAACAATTAGATTAGATTCTACAAGAATAGGTGCAAGAGCCAGGGCAAGAATACAAGTAAACTCATCAGAACTAGTTGTAGTAGAACTAAATAATAACTCAATAAAATATTGATTTTTTTTATAAAAGGACCTATTATTAAGTATATATAACATATAGTCAAAGTTTGTATTTTTAACTATTTATTTATTTAATTTAGTCTCTAAATATTTCAATTTTGTTCAATTAAATCTCTGTACTATATATTTTCATTCAATTTAATCCCTATGACATAGTTCAGATTTTTTTTTTGAAAATTCTTTTTCTTGATCTACCTTTTTAGTATTGCCGCATTATAATATCAGTACAACATGGCATTATCATATTATTATTCATTATCACATGATATTGCCACATCATTATGTTAGAGTTACATAACATTGCCATGTCAACTCTAATGTTAGTGCTGATGTCATCACCTCTAGCAATAAATATTCACAACGTAAAACAGAGGGATTAAATTGTTTTAATTTTTAAAATCAAAAGATTAAATTGATTATATTTTAAATACGTGGATTAAATTGACGAAAACACATAGATACAAGAATTATTTGAATATTTTAACCATATTAACACCACCCACCAAAATAAGCAACAAGCTAAGCATGAAAACGTAAAAAAGAAAAATTAAGGTACTTAAAACAAAAATAAAATTTAAATCAAAATTTGATTTCTGCGTGTATCATTACCCAGGAGTCATGTTACTCTTCTCTATATCGTTTCAATTTAATCAGATGCCGACACGTGTCGCCGCTGCTTTGTGCTATATAAAAGTTTTCAACGCGATAGTCGGTAACGATGTGGGAGTTCTGGTTGGTCTTCTAAAAGCTGAACTAGTTCACGTCATCTTGACTAAGCCCACATGGAGAAACCCGAAAATGTGAATGAGAATTTAAAAAATGCCTACAATGTCCCACATTGGCATCCAGATAAAGTTGGAAAAGAAGGAAATGACAGCTCCCTTCACGGTTCATGTATGTTGTTTCGTTCCAGAGGAAGGAAAACAAAATCTTGTCCTTTTCTTATTTTCGGGCATTTGGCCTGGCGATGCCACTGCTATTAACTCATCAAGGAGTTATTATTTGCTGCTCAATAAATGTTCGAGCCCAACCTTTATGTACCACTTGTTTTTTTGGCTCATTGTTCCTTCTCTTTGTTCGAATGATAGTTGGTGTAACGTTATTATGAATCCAGCTTAGTACTTGCCATCTTAATTTGAAAAGAATATTCAGGTTTGATGAATTCTTATTGTTTGAAAAGTTTTTGGTGAAAAAATATTGTTTTCCCAAATTTTAGTTTAGGTTGAAATTATTATTATTATGAAAAGAAAAGTTTTGTATTTTGAATTTGATAATAGTGAATGAAATATATATATATACATACGTAAAAACTTTTTAATAATCTAATAGAGAATCAAGTTAATAGGATAACACTTGCATTGATTTAATCTATAATATGTACAATTGCTATCATTATGTTAATACTCTCTAAACCCAAAATCGTATGATAAATGTTAACTTAAGTTTGAAAACTAAAATTTGAAACCTACCAAGTAAAAATATCAACATTTTGTAGTTAAGGTAGTTGTACTCCAAAATTTTTTAAGACATGGGGCAGAAAGGAGAAGAGCTCTGAATCAAGTGCACAACCTCAAAAATTGCTTGCTACAATGCAAGATGTCAAAAAATGGTAATTATCAAATGGATCAAGCATTTTCCATATGTTTCCAAGGTGGAGAAGGTCTTTCAAACATTCAAAGTTGAACAACAGTACAAAGGTACTCGAAGAAAAAGAAAAAGGAAAAAAAATTCTTTTAAAATATACAATTTAACAATATTTAGATTCTCTTATGTTCAATAAGGTTTAGAAATGTATTTGATTTCGAAAAAGAAATGAATAATGAATAATGCCTTTGCCTTTATGAAAAAGATGGACTAAACAAAAAGTTTTCCCAATGGTGGATTGGCATCCAAAAACTTGCATGTTCGGCTTGCTTCTAGGGAAAGTAATACCTACAAAGCCTGATTTGATGAATTAGTATATGCTAATAATTATTTTATTATGTGAATAAACTATTGATTTCAATTACCATGTGAGTGTATATCTATATATAATGAGAATGTAATTTTATTAAAATATATATTCTACATAAAGAAAACTCAAGGGTGAATTGTAATGGTAGTAATTCAACTCATTTTGTTGAGCCCATTTAATCTTAATCA